GGTTCATGTTAAGAGTTCAATCTGTGGTTAGATTTAGCCAAGAAAACACTTTAAGGTAAGGAAAAGATGGTAGTTTTAATTAAAGCCAAATAGAAGAGATGTGTCTCAGACCACAGTGGACGTCTTCTGTATTAAACCAAACCATTTTGTCCTTAACCAAGTGTATCTTAAGAAGGAAGAAAAACGTCGGTGTAGTTATACGATGGTCAAATGCTAAATGTGACATCCACTTATGATTATGTGTAAACCGAACCAGTAGTGCAATGTTGCTTTCATCAGCTATGGAATATTACCCAAAACAAGTATTTCTTCATTGATTGTTAAACTTATTTGGAACATTTTCTTTATTTTTATTTCATGTTTGGAATTACACAGTTCTTTTCAGTCTTACTTTCCATATGAACTGTGCTGAAAGCTGTGCAGTGAGGCTAAAAATAGTGTCAGTTGGATCTAAAAATGCAATTATGGGAGCTTCACCTTTGAGAGTGCAGGGCCAACGAAGTTTATAGCACGATGAGCGGCAATCTGAATAGTCCTGATCACATTTACAGAGCAGCACTTCAGATAATCTTTAAGATGGTTCCCAGGATTTGACGGATCAGGGAGGGAGGCATATTCTTTTGAATGGTGGATATAAAATATGTTTCTGCCTGGGCTTCCTCTGACATGTTTATCCCTTTGGGAAGCCTGATGGTAGAGTCACGTGTTTTGAATAAAGAGTTAGTTATATGATTAGGGTAAATAGAATCTGCTTCCAAAATCTTACTAAGATAAGTCACAAAATTAAGAGAAAAACCACAATGTTCAGAAAAAGTGCAGACAAACAAGGAAATCCCATCTCATCTCATTTCAAAAAAGCTTCTTTTAGTGGTCAGACTTCCATTTCCAAAGAATCCCTGGCCTAATAAGACTCCTGACTGCAAAGCCACACCTTAATCAAGCTTGGCAATTACAGTAAATTGAAACTATTTCCTGACATTTTCAAAGATGTATCAACAAATATACAACGACTAAAGTACAATTTCATGACAAGCAGTTTTGTTTTTAATGCTGTGATACGTACAAAAGGACTAGCCTCATTATTTTTGTGACATCAAATTGAAAAAAAGACCTACAAAAACTCCTACAGTGCTTGTGTACAGCTTCCTGAGGACTTCTCACCACAGTCTTGTTGTTAAATTTACTCCCAGTTTGCCTGTGTACAAAACCAAACCTGTGTTCTCTGACCATGCCTGCTAACCCAAGCTAAATATTTGCAATACATGAAGCCACAAACTGTGTTTTTACATGCCTATTTATGCTGTGTTTGGGGTAAATTAGTCAGCTTTGGAGGCACTAGTGGACACATTTTTAAGTTGTTGTTGTTTTTTTATTATTCTTTTTCAATTTTAATATAAAATATGTTTACTTACTATCAGCAGTCAACACAGGAAAGCTACATGTTATAGAATAATGGATAACAGATTTCAGTGCAGGGCTGATCATTAGTGTCAGAGCAAGTTTTCGTTCTGATGGAAGAGGCTAGTTCATGACTGGAGTGTGAATGTGAATTCCTGGGAAAAGAAACAGCTGACCAAGCACAGAATATCCGGAGGGCCATGGCAGCTTCTCCAAAATGTTTGGATAAAGATTGTACAGATCTGTCAGGGGCCGTCATCTAAAGCAATGATGAATTAATGCTTGTGCTGCACCCCAGTCAGCAACAAGTACAGCGCCTATAGCCACCCCGCTGAAAGTTTTTCCTCTTCACTGCTTTTTAACACTGAATTATGGTCAATATAATTTGACTTACTTTGACTTGTTGACTTAATACTTGATGGGGTTGTGAATTTGTGTGACTTCCAGCACCAACTGGCTGCACCTGTGTTAAATTAGGTGAGTCACTTTGAAAGGGGGCGAATACTTATGCATTCATTTTATGCATTTTCTGTCTTTAATTATCCTGTTTGTGGTGTTCATGTACAGGATCTCAAGGCACAGCCGGGGTGAGGAGGGTGTCAGGTTTTGGGGACGGATGATGTGGTACCGCTGGCTTAATCAGACTGTAACCTTCAGTATGTACTGGAGGAGTTTGCAGCTGAGTGGGAAGGGATGCGAGTCAGCAGTCGAAAACCTGTGGGAGTTGTTTCCCCAAGTGAAGGAGTTTAAGTATCTTGGAATCTTGTTCATGAGTGATGGGAAAATGGACTGTGAGATGGACAGGCGGACCGTTGTGGTGAAGAGAGAGCTGATCCGCAAGGCAAAGCTCTCGATTTACTAGTGCATCTACATCCCATCCCTCACCTATGGTCACGAGCTCTGGCTCGTCACCTAAAGAACGAGATCGCAGGTACAAGCGGCAGGGTGGCCGGCCTTGTAGAGAAGCTCGGACATCCAGAGGGAGCTCGGAGTAGAGCTGTCACGTCTTCATGTCGAAAGGAGCCAGCTGAGGTGGTCTGGACATCTGATTTGGATGCCTCCAGGGAGACTCCCTTTGGAGGGTTTCCAACCATGTCCGCCTAGGAGGAGACCCCGGGGTAGACCCAGAACTCAACGAAGGGATTATATATCTTGTCTGGCCTGGGAACGCCTCAGGATCCCCCAGGAAGAACTGGAAAGTGTTACTTAGGGGGAGGGAAGTCTGGAATGACCTGCTTCATCCACCGCTTCCACGATACAACCGCGGAGAAGTGGGGTATTAATAATGAATCAATATTACTTTATAGAAAACTTTTTCCACTTTCACATGCAAGAGCCCTTTTTGTCAATTCTTCTAGAAAAAGACAAACTAAAGGGAGGTGAATGCTTTTTTATCGGCACTGTAAACCCTCTACCTTCTCAAATCCAAAACTAGCTAACATTTTTTTTCTCTAATTTCTCTACAGTTCACCACTTTCAGACACTTCAATGCTCTTTTACATGAACAAACATTTCAAGCTGTAAACAAGTGAATTTTACTGAAAAGCATGCTTTGTAGCAGTCAGCTAGAAAACAATATCATGTAATGGATGATAGCAGGTAGCCATTACATGTTTCATAGGGCATTCAAATGCTTTTTAAACTGGTCTGACACACTCGTAAATCTTAGAGAAGGCTTTCAGTGGCTCATTTATGGTCCAAATCTACCTCAATAATTTACTTCTAATCTACACCCCTGTTTCTGCATGATAAGACGTTGCCCAGCTTCGACATAAAATCCGGCCCAAGTCATTTATACAAGGCCATATTTTACTGTCAGCAACTGTTTTAAATGTAGTCGCCACATTCAAGAGTCTGGCAAGCTCTACTTTATTATCAAAGATTTTTTTCAGGTCATGTTTTTCCCCTCACAGACACTCCAAATGTACAAGAATGTGCAGGAGAAAATAAATCACTCACTACAAGCAAAAAGATCCACAGAGGCTTAAATGGGACTTGCATGAAAGAAGCTCTCCTGTAACCATACAAACTGTCCTCTTTTAAATGGTAAGCAAGGTGTTGCTACAGAGTCTAGCCCCCTAAAAAAAAAAAAAAAAAACTCTGATCATATTTTCTACAACACTGTCATTCTAAATGAAAGAAAACATCAAAGCCTCAAGTATACAGTCAACTTTATAGCAGGCTTTCTCTGCCTCTTTATCACTCTCCATCCTGACTGCTTCTGTAAAATCATGCCATAAATTGAAAAAGACACACAGCGCTAGTTTGGACTGTCTATCAGACAAAAGTAAACCCCTGTGCTGTGTGAACAGAGCCACAGAAAGGAAGGAAGACTGGCTGTAAAGGGGTCTATGGTGTGCCGGTCTTTTTTCTCAGTACACAGTTACTTCATCATTTCATCACAGATCTCTAGAGAATCCCACAAATGCCAAATAAATGTAGATGTTTGTGCAAAAATGGAATCATATTATTATATTATACATGCCACACAGTCAGTGGGCTTACACATTAGTCTATACACAAGTTCTATACATGTGCTTTAACACAGCTACCATTCAGACACAATGACTATTCCCACCTTAGTTACTTAAACCGAGCCGCCACACTTAAATCACTGCTGACAATGAATGTTTACCATTAATCATCTCGTAACAATGCAATGTTCTGCTGGGAAATTCTGGTAATGTTATAGCTGTTACTTTGACACCACATAAGCATTGCTGCAGACCAAGCCCATCATGCCATGGCAACAGAACTCCCCAATGCTAGCGGACATCCCAAGCAGCACAATGCCACACCGCAAAAGCTGCACAGAAGTGGCTCGAGGAACATGACAAAGAGCCTGTGAGCCCACAAATTCCCCAGATCCCAATCCAATCGAGCATCCAGGAAATTTACAACTGATGAAAACTGCTTGTTTCTATTTTTTTTATTGTAATGTAATTGTTCATTTTAAGTTACATATGTACCTGCAAATCTGCACAGCAATAAAAATAAAACAGCTGACAACTTTTTGATTGAGAACATACCATCTTACTCAACTGATTTTCACTAATGTACTATATTTCCCATGTGGCATATGCCATGTGTGTGGCAGGTTGCAGGGAGTGGAGCCAAGAGCTTTAATGGTTTAGAAAAAAAACATTGGCAAGGACTGACCTTGGGTATTTGAAAAAAAACGGCATAAACGTGGATTTTTATGCTGTGATATTTACCAGAACTGTAGGAATTTGAAAGATCCTCTTAAAAAGGAGAAAGCAGAAATGTCACTGCCAAGCATAAATGCGTTTTCTAAGAAGATAAACAGCATGGCATCATAATGTCACCTCATTCCTGTCTACGTTTATCACAAAGCAAAGGAACCCTGACAAGAAAATACACAGCTGAATAATGTGTCAGAGCTGTATGTGTGATTGCTACCATATGCTATCTGCTGTCTTTTACTCCCACAATCACAGAGACATTCACTGTTCTGAACAAAACAAAAAAAGCATGTGCATTAGCAGGATCTTGGCTGAGGGGGATTTGAAACTATATAATGATAATGATATATAATTAAATCTTCAAAGACGGCTCTTAAGATAGCTGATGAGGTGTCTTACTGTTACTGTGGACTGTTGATGTTCAGGTTTTGTTGTTGTGTCTCACTCATCTAAAGGCTGATGGGTGCTCATTAGTGCTGCATCTTCTGTAGGCAGAAAGAGACAAGAAGAAGAAAAAAAACAGTGAAGAATCAAGCTTTGAGAAATTAGCGAGCCCTTTTGCCAGTGTGCTCTCTGTAGCAATTACATTAAGCAATTTTCCCCCCAAAAAATCGATGGTTATTTATCGGCCTAAACATTACTTATTCATTTCATTCGCTGTGAGAAAGTTAATTTGCAGACTGAAAGTAACAAGCATGTGTTTCTCTTGCAATTAAGGCTGCGGCTGGGTTTGACTGTGTTTACGAGGTCCTGGTGCTACAGATATTTTTCACCTATATCAACCTCTTAGACTGACAAGTAAAGCTTAAACTTATAAGGCAACACACACCCAGCCAGCCTATCCTGCCAACAGCCTTATAGAAAGCCTAAAATGTACAGTATCACAGAGTAGAAGTACAAAAGAAAGTTAGGGACCCCAAAGAAAACAGCTGAAGAAGTGCAATAAATCTCACAGATACGATCGACAAATATATTTAATCGGAAATATAATGCTCGCGTTGGACGACATAGGCGCTGGCTCGGCGCTTTTCATGTATGAAAAATGTTGGCATTCGAGCAACCATGAGCTCGGCCTCATGTCCAATACTATAAAGTATTTGTGTTGGTATAAACTATTAAATTTATAGCGCGGTGTCAGCTGCCGTGATTTGTAAGCTGTCAGTGTTTATTAATGGTTTACAGAAAGCAAACAAACGGACTGATCAATCACTCTCAAAAATGCAATGTTGAAAAGAAAAAACAAAAACAAAAGAAAGAAAGAACAAATCAATGATGTGCTTCTTTGGGAAAATCTGAAATCAAAAATCATAACTCAGCTGAGCCTGTTCACCAGAATCCCACATTATTAGACCTTCAATCTTTCCAGTGGGTCCGTCTTTAACATTCCATAGTAGAACGGAGAAGATCCGATCAAACCATCACCACACTTTGGCCCTTTTCAGCACGATATCGGCGCATGTTTGAGTTCAAATGAGTGCTTTAAGAAAGGACACGCTCAAGATTAAAGTGAGCTGTCTGGACACTTGATAAATGAGGGCCAAAGTTTTCTATTATGTGTTGCCCTGTAGTATTGCATAGTTATCATGAAAGCGCCTGAGGAATTTGTTGGAAATGACATTCAGAGATAGACGTAAAGGGCAGAGAGAGTGCTGAAGGTGTTGCATTAATTTGAGACGGGGGGTAACTTCTGTGGGCAAGATTCTGTTGATATATACTGCTGAAGGTGCACATATAAGTTTTGGAAGTTGAAAATGAGCATGCGATGCATTTCTGGCGACAAACACCACAAATAATAAGTTTGCCAGTGTGTCGTATTCACTGTGATTTCTAGTATTTAGTCATAGTCTGTATTGCTTAGCCCTGCAGGTTCATGGTCCTTGCGCTGGTAAAATAGCACCCAAGTGAAATACATCAGCAGAAATGTGGCATCTGCATCTAGAAACACAAACAAACTTTACACTGAGAAGCTGTACTTGTCCAGCATTAGTCCCAACAACTGCTTAGACAAGGTGAAGAAAGTGAAGGTGTTCTCTTTTTATTTCAAAGCTAAAAGACTGAACCTTCTTTTATTACTCTCTCAAAATTAAATCCTCTCCTTCTTCATATTTCCACTTAAGTAAAACCAAAGGTGGCGTGATCAAATTTCTCCCATCCATCTCCAGCTGAGAAATAACGTAAAATGGATTTTCTTCAGCATTTCTCTCACTGTCAGAAGTTTGTGCCTTTCGGCAAGTAACGCTATATTTTATAATGAATAATGGAGGGCAATAGAAAAATAAACAACTGTCATTTCTTTCTCCCCTCAAGCAATAAGTTTCTGTTTCAGAAGCGTGGTTTTACATAGCAGACAGCAGAATCTTATTAGGAAGACAGATGTTATCAGCGGCATTATTCAAATTGGAAGCGGTATATTTGGATTGAAGTAAATATTTAGACCAACATCTATTGAGCAGGTGATTAACCTTTTCTGTATAACATCCGAAGCAACAACAACGACGATTGGCTCCAGTGCACGTTGGAAAAACACGTAAAGCAAAATGTGAAGCAATAAGGCAGAAGATCACATCACCACTCAGTTGAAATTAATATAACCTGTTCCTCCTCATAAGCCAGTCACCCAATCATTAAAACACACTGACAACAAGAGCCTCGGAGGCCTAAAGACAGAGGAGGGTTGCTTGTTCCAAATGAGGGATTAATCCTCTTAAGCAACTTTTGACAGCTCGGCAAAAAAGTTGACTCCAAAACAAAGTTGAAGAAACGAGCCTTGATGTAGAATTCCAAGTCAAGTCAAATGTGTTTGTACAACTCAACATTAAATATGACTTAAAGGGATTCACGGGCCCAAAGTGTGAACCCAGCTCAACATCCATCCATCCATTATCTATACCAGCAGTCCCCAACCTCTGGGCCATGGACCAGTACCCGGCCGTGGGTCATTTGGTACCGGGCCGCACAGAAAGAATAAAACATTTTATTGGTTTATTTTGATTTCCAGCGGAGTCTGCAGGGTGTTTTATTTAGAAAAATGACGAGCTTGTCTTCCCGTCACTTCCGTCTGTGTTTGTTTCTCTGTTAGTTTTTGGCCGTTAAACGAAGCTGTCAGACTAACCACCGCCGAAATGAATAAAAAAAGCAAATGTCTCAGGAGAGCTTCTTAGGAAAGTGGCAGAGACTCGATGCTGAGACAGAAGAAAAAGTAAGTAATTTCATTTCTTTATGAAACTTACATTTCTTTATGTGTGCAATGACCGGTCCGTAGAAAAATTTCTTGCTGGTCCGTGGTGCAAAAAAGTCTGGGGACCGCTGATCAATACACCGCTTAATCCTCACTAGGGTTGCAGGGGGATGGAGTCTATCCCAGCTGACTCAGGATGAAGGCAGGGGACACCCTGGACAGGTCACCAGTCTATCACAGGGCTACACTTAGAGACAGACAACCAAGCACACTCACATTCACACCTACGGACAATTTAGAATCACCAATTAACCTCAACATGTTTTTGGACTGTGTGGGAGGAAGCCGGAGAACCCGTACTGCACGAGGAGAACATGCAAACTCCACACAAAAAGACCCCGGGCGTCCTCACCGGGACGCGAACCAGCAACCTTCTAGCTGCGAGGCGACAGTGCAAACCACCGAGCCACCTTGCAACCCCCAGCTCAACATATCCAAGGCAAAAAGCTCTCAAAGGAATTTTAAAAACTGCAGACTCCCCAGGCTGCTCTGGTCTATTCTTTGTAGTTGTAATTCAAAAAAAAAAAAAAGCACTAGTCATTGTAAAAAATTATGATCTCAATCTCAGGTCACACATGAACACAGTAAATCCTGAAGAGTAAATCAATCTAACAAGTAATGTCACCAGTGAAGTAATGAAACAAGTCCAATCAAATACTCCAGTCGTCTTTTCATATCGCCCAAAGCCCAGGCAGGAGCGGTAGACGGCGGGATCAGTGAACAAAGCAGGTTTAGAGGATGTGTTGAGGTCGTGACAGACAGCACCCTCAATAAAGCTACCATATAATAATCCTCTTTTTAAAAAAAAAGAAAAGTTTTCTCGAGACGCTGAACCCTTTTTCTGCCCTCTGGACTCTGGCTCCCTGATAGCAAAACACCATCATGTGGGAGTAGCAGAGATCCAGTACCTAACATGCTGGAAGTGGTAGATAAGAGACAGGGAACATACAGATAGCACTAGACTGGCTCTGACCCATCGTACTTCCTGAGGGGCACAACTCTGCCTGCACTGGGCAGATGTCAGGCTGTTTTTTATACAGAAGGTACAATCTAGCATGTACGTCTTAAAACCTGGGGTGCTCTGACCTACACGAACAGAAACTGCAGACAGACGAAATGCATCAGCTCTGTTGAAACATTTGAGAAAACAGGTTGCTCAAAAAAAAAACAGAGAATGTGTGACTTGTAGGCTTTTTGAAATAGCTCATCTTTCATGGTACATTAGCACTTTCGGAGCATTAAATGACAAAAGGGGGAAAGAGTGCTTTGAATAACACCACAATAAAAAATAAATTATATCATGAGTCACACTTCTGGAATCTTGTATTAGAATTGTAATTCTAACTTTAAAACTTTGACTATTGATTAATGATAATCCTGGTAATGGTGAGTCACTTTTCTAACATCTTATTTTTATTGACTTAGTCCACCATTCATTTTGGTTATGGCATTTTATTTACTAGTTTTATAGCTGCGATCTGGGGACAAGGTGACTCTACTGCATGCAGCTGTATGAAATCCAAGAGGAAAAAAGCAACAGAAGTGGTGATCCAATCAGATATCCCTCGTTCGACTGTACCACTATCTTAGAGGCAGAAACCTCAGTGAAAACAAATGACAACAACTCCTATCAGTTTAATAGGAAAAGCTTTACTCGAATTCATTCCACGACTAGTAATTTGCAGGTTTTGAACAGGGGAAACATGGATGAGAAGACCTTAAAATGCTCAGAAAAAACGTAACTATACATGGTAAATTGTACCTGCTGAAGATGGTGTGACAAGAGAAAGTTTAATTACAGCTACTATATGGACATTATAGTGGTGGTGTTCTACTCATGGCTGTTTCTTACTTGGCATTGCTGGCTGTATCAGTCTGTTAGAAATGCAGACATAAGTCACTTTTACACTATCACTACTCACTCCTTTATTCAAACATATCCACGGCAATAACGATAAGAGGTGCACATGTGATATATGTCATATGTGGGTAGTACATGAAGTGATGTGTGATACACTGTTTCCCATAAAGTTGGAATAATTTTTGTTTTTACACACATTCCGCTTTTTATTTCTATTTATACACATCAGTAATCACTTCTGACCAGGTGCAATGATCACACACTGAGTCCCAATTACCAAGAGGAAACCATTTCTGGCCAAAGAGTGGGACGTCCTGCCCATCGACACCACCAACAAGCTTATGGACAGTATGCCACGATGTCTTAATGCACTGATCCATGTCAGG